CTTGGAATTTGAATGTTCGAATGTTCACAAAATGAAACAACAATATTTTTAGCTTAATTTGATTTATTTGGTTATTTAATGTTGCCGTTTATTAAAATTGTTAAATAATCATATAAGTACTACAAGTCATTCTAGATATATTCATGAAGAGTAAAGTTTCATTCAATATTATAAATATTACAACTTAACAACACCAACATCTGAAGTAAATTTACAATTACTTTAAAAAATCTTTCCGTTTTCTGACGTAGATACGACCTCTTTAAGAATGTTAAAATACTAAATTAATTTAGCATTCAACTCGCGTGTTGATTTGTTTTTTAGCAGATTATTATATTTTGTAAGTAGAAACCTACTTCTATTATTAAACAACCAAATGTGCTAATCTTATAAGACCTAATTCAAACTACGTTTATGTGACTAGAAATTATATTACAATAAGAACAGCCTAAGAAAGTCCCTAGTTCTCACTTAATCTAATATTTACATTTATTCACCTTCAAGCTTAACTATATAAAGCTTAAGCCCGCGACTTATCTCCCATTAGAGAACAAAAAAACCCAAGATGGACGATGAATCATCGATAAACAACAAATTGTTTTCCATTAATTAGAAATCATCAAAAACAAAATTTAATTAAACATCAACAAAACAAGGTATCTAAATATGTTATTCGGTGCTAAATAATAATGGCATTCACTTTTTTTAACGGTACCAAGTACCGATACTTACTAAGATTTAAATATTGTAAGAAACATATCCACAGATAAATATAAATTTCTGACCGGCGTAATTCGCATTTTTTTATACAATAATGAATAAATTTTTGGATCAGAAAAATACCTATTATAATTTTTACTAGTAATATAAAATTATTAATGAGATCCCATTAATTTGATTTGGTTTTTATTAATACTGACAAGTGTCGTAGCTAAAACTTATTAAATTCTAGGTAATTTTTTGTTATAGTCCTTTTAAAGAACAATACTCTTAAATCTAATGCTAGGTCCAAAGATTATCATAGACAATTTTACTGATGCTAGAGCCAATGTCATCTCGAATTTATAGCATATACATAAGCAAGATTGCCACTTTCGTAACACAGTTATCACCTCACTTCAACAAATAGTCATATGGCAATACTGTAGGTATATCCAAGCTGCATGCATGCAAGCACTGCATATGTCAGCCGAGCATCCCTCCCGACATGTTTCCATGTACCCGCATGTGCCTATTTAAATTTCCAGATTGAGAAAACCTTAAAGGAAAATATTTCGGTTAACAATATTATACGATAATATTTAGTTATCTTAAATTATAGGAAGAACAGCCTGCTGTGGGGCAAATCGTTATGAGTAGAAAGTATTATACAAAAAAATACACGTGTTTCGGGCACAGAAAGCTGATAACCTATTTGCCAATAAAATAAATTGTCGAACAATGAAAAAAGGGAATCATAGAAAAACCCAAGGCTTAAAGGATTGTTGCGCCACTAGATGAATGAATGAGATGTGATTAATCACAATCGTAAGATGTGTAATATATAAGGCACTAAAAAAAACACATGCATGAGTAAACAAGGGAAGTACAGGAAAGAGCGACAGGGCAAAACACCTCTTGACCAAAACGAGTGTATGGGAAAACAAACGACCCATATGTTACCCTGGCAACCCGCCGGTTGATTGACGTTGACTTTCTGATAGAAGTCAAATTCAAAGAAGTGTAAAGCAACCAAAACAATATATCAGACAAAGAGGACAGAATTTTACATAAAAAGCCACGTTCTGCAGACAAAAGGGGAGAGGTTAGTACAAGGAAGAGAAAAGGACATCATCAAAAGCCCCAACGACATACTTAAATTTAGGCACCAAATAGGGAAAGGCCAACCCGCAACAGGCAGTGTTCCAGTGTTTGCAGGAAGAGCATGAAACCAAACAAGGCAAAGGCTGAAACACAGAGCCAAACAGAAGCAACTTGCCGAAGCCACAAAGGGCTAGACAGGAGCACTTCTAAGGCCAAACTAACAGCAGCAATATAAAAAAATAAAACCCCTGTTTAAATGAAATATAACTTATATTCACGTCTAACTATCCACACCTATGTAAATAAAACAGCAAAAATAGCAATAAAAGAGCCAGCAGCTGTCCAGCCTGATGCTTGGGGGCGTCTAGGTTGGCCTGGCTTCTGGAGCACCATGTCACATACGAACACCAGGCTCTTCATATCAATAGCAATATGTGGAGGATGCCAGTGCACATATATACTCGTAATTTGGCATTTTCTAAAGACACGAGAAGCCATGAAGAAGACACCAAACGAAAACCACCACCTCTATTACCTTTTCGACACAGCCGCACTGTCACAGACTTCAAACAACTTCTTTGAAAAGCGGTATTGTTTTGAACGCCACCGAAAGAAACGGATTGCACCGAGTTTGGATGTTTTGACTTTCCTTGGAGGCGGCAAACTTCAATCGTATGTATTAGCTGCAATCAATATTACTAAACTTCCATTGACTATAAAATCTATTTCAACAAACACAAAACCTACAACTTAAACTTTCCCTGAACAAACAGCAAAATGCGCAACGCGAAACAGACAAATAACGCAAAGTCCTATACACCCGTAAACTAGGCCCGGCGTGTATAAGCATGACAAGTCTCATACAACAGACACTTGTTATAAAGCCGATACACAAAGGTCAATTCAGGAATTATTAGACATTTTTCTTATAAGGCTTATAGATGTGCATAATTCTTTATTGTAAGACCGTATATGTATAAGAATCTTGACGATAATTTTCAATAAAATAAAATTAAAACGTATCTTTTAATATAAGAATTCTACAAACCTAAGTAAACACAACTTGCACTGGTATGGCTTTTCGCCAGAATGGATTCGAAGATGTTTGGTCAGCGTGGAGCTGTCGGAGAACGCCTTTTTACATGAGCGGCATCTGGTAAAAATATAGACCCCAAATTAAAATATAGTTCCAATTAATTTTTTGTAGAATAGCTATTCATAAATTCCATAAATATTTTTCACTGTAAATTCAAAGGTACATCTTTCGTAGTTAGGACTAAATAGAAATCGAACTAAACAGATAATAAATTCTTGTTTCTTTCGATTGTTACAGACTTACTGATAGGGCCTTTCCCCTGAATGTGTTCTCATGTGTGTAGTGACACTGGAACTCTGACTAAATCTCCGATCACAAATTGGACACCTGAAATAGAAATAGGTACACTTGTTTTATTGCCATTGAAATAAATGTCAAATACATTATTACGAAGCACCTACTCTACTCGGCGAAAGACTCGAAATGTCTTGTTATAATCAGTGGCGCTACAATTTTTTAGGTCTGGGCCTCAGATTTATGTATCTGTTTCATGATCATTTTTCAATCTAATAGGCACGTAGGTGATCAACCTCCTGTGCCTGCCACACGCCGTCGACTTTTTGGGTCTAAGGCAAGCCGGTTTCCTCACGGTGTTTTCCTTCACCGTTTGAGCGAATATTAAATGCGCACATAGACAGAAAGTCCATTGGTGCACAGTCAGGGATCGACCTCAAGGATGAGAGTCGCACGCTGAAACCACTAGGCCAACACTGCTCAAATAAGTGCCATATGCGTTACCTAAATGGTTTTTGGCCAGTATGCGTCCTCACATGGGCCGTCAAGTTGGCTGCTTGCGAAAAACTCTTATTGCAATCCGCACATCTGTACGGCCGCTCTCCCGAGTGCGTACGCAGATGTGTCTTCAATGTACTAGGCCGTGCATATGTCTTGCCACATATACGACATAGGTTTGGCTTCTGTTCATCTTCATCTGAACCGCTGAGCGCACCGACCTGAACCACCGACCGATTGAAAATATTATTTTTTTAGCGCGTTTTAGGTTAGCGCGTTTAATTGTGACAAATTTTTCTCCCGTAAATCAAGATAACAGTTATATAATTATAATTATAAATTCCAATTAGAGTTAGTATTCCCGTAAAATGTGTTTTCTTTTAAATGTATGTATATATAAGAATATTTGCTATATCAGTAAAATTGTTATATACGCATTAGTATTTTCGTAAATAGTATTTTTTTTTCAAATAATATAGACATATTTTTTTTAATAAATACAAAGTAAGAAAGAAACATAGAGTCTAAACAATTATCCTTCTTACTTGAACTTTCCCTGAGTTGATACAAGGACTGTATCCATATTCTTGGGGATGCATTTGATTCTGATTGACCAAATACCCACTCTCCTTTTGGCCTTCTTGGTATATCTTGGTGGGGGATCTTTTAAGCATGGATCCCATCTTCTGAAAGTTGGGTTTCTGCTGGAAGATGTAGTTGGGGGTCTTCTGTGTGTTTTGGAGGACGGGTTTGAATGTGGATGATGCGGTAATTAGAGGATCTGACTGGTTAGGAGGCCGGAAGTCGGCTGTGAAGGAGTACGTGGCTGATGGATAGGATGTGGGTATGTTCTGTGGGGGTGGGTAGACCACGTTGACAGATGGTGTCGCTGCATTCTGATTCCATTGTACCTATTAGAAATGTTTAATATAAAAGATATATCTAATTGTTTTTCTATCTACATATATGAAATCTCTTCACTAGTTGAAAGTTTATATCCCAAATAATCTGAAATTGTATGAGAATGAAGTTTCCAGTTAAAACCACGGCTACCAATGGATTAGTTAGTTAGTTAGTTAAGGAGAAAATGGAAGCACAGAAGGCTGATCACCTACTTGCCTATTTAGAAAAAAAATTGTTACGAAAAAGTTACATAAATGTGTGGACAGACCCAGGGTTATAGCGACGCTGGCTTTTTCTTCTTTTTACCCTCCAGAATTGTATCAGTTAATGAGAGAATTTCGCGATCAGAAGTGGCTAAAGGGTGATACTATTTACTTAAATCAAAAAATAAAATCGCATTAAAAATATTAAAATTCACTCGGAGTCCGGAAAGACTATTAAACTATTCCTACTGCGAATAAAACTTAAAGAGACTTCTTCTCTTGAAGGCCTCAGTTACGTGAGTGTTTAGTTGCATTAAAATTATATAAATCAGTGGCACTACAACCTTTTTAGGTCTGGACCTTAGATTTCTGTATCTATTGCATGATCATTTGTAAATCTAATAGGCAAATAGGTGACCAGCCTCCTGTGCCTGACGCACGCCGTCGACTTTTTGGGTCTAAGGCCGGCTTCGTCACGATGTTTTACTTCTCCGTTCGAGGGAATGTTAAAATGCGCATATAGAAAGAAAGTCCATTGGTGCACAGCCGGGGATCGAACCTACGACCTCAAGGATGAGAGTCGTACGCAGAAGCCACTAGGCCAACACTGTTAGTTGCATTACCTGTGAGCAAAGCTGATCTGGCTGGCAACCATGCATGGTCATGTTCATAGACACATTGACGCTCATAGTGGCTGTAGGAAAGATGGGCGTCGCTGCATAATGCTCGTAGTATGGATACCCACTTCCGCTGTTTACCATCATCTGTTTTATAAGTATAAAAACTTAATTAACTATTTTACATATCTATTTCTGATAACTAGTATCAATGGCTTTGCACGGGTGTAAAGTTCAGTGAATGCGAAGTGATTATAAAAAAAAAAGAATAATTAGTTCAAATTCAACTGAAGTGAGTCACATCGGAGACTAAAGGATTCACTTAATTTTTATGTTTCTTCACTTTTATTGTAGTTCACTAGTTTATAGCACTTTGCAGGCATAACACTTTGTGTAAAGTGATAACTGCCGCCAATGGACACCTGCAACGCCGGGACTTGCAGGTGTGTTGCCGATCTTTCAGGGAATGGTACGCTCTTTTATGGAAGGCCCCTAAGTCGTATCCGTTTAAAAATGCTTCAACTGACAGTTGGTTCCACAAAGGGGTGGTGCGCGGCATACAGTGCCTGAAGGTCGCGAATACATCAAATGAAACCACGGCCATTCTAAAGTAGTTGAAAAACTTTTAGTGTCTTCTCTCAGCTGGGGATACAGAGTATGAAATATTCCATTATATTCTCTTGGTTGTAGTATTGGACGCACCCACATACTACGGTGTCTTCCACGCCTACGATTGCGTAATAGTAGTACAAGAAGCAGTGTTTCTTCATCGAAATCCATCTTGTAAATGAACTTGCATCAGTATTATTTTGCGGTCGAACACAACTTCTCCAAGCAGTCGTTAAAAGGCCGGCAACGCACTCGCGAGCCCTCTGGCATTGAGAGTGTCCATGGGCGGCGGTATCACTTAACATCAGGTGAGCCTCCTGCCCGTTTGTCCCCCGTTCTAAAAAAAAAAGTCGTAGTCGACTGTATTATGTCAACGCGACCAATCTAGAGAAGTCGGTCTCGGCTGCAACATGCGGTCCGTCTCTGGCCAGCGTAAAAAAATGCGCTGTGTTTTGGAACGCCAGGAATCTATGTGGACGCGATAACCTTAAAAACTATAAAACAGAATTTTGTACTACACGAATAGATAGTTTGATTCTTGAGAAAGGTTTATGTGTATAATTTATTATAGTCTTATGTAAATTGACTGAAGTATTATGGTTATTGTTGAGGTCGGAACAAATCTAGCCCAGACCCTTTAGACTTCAAGTTATGGTCAGTTTTAGAGGACATGGCCTGCTCTAAACGACACGGCTACATTGAGTCTCTTAAATATCTTTGGAGCAAGCAGTGGCGTAATTTTCCTTGGAAACAGTGCGTAAATGCATTGATTTGTGGCCAAACAGATTAAAGGCCTATATAAAAGCCAAAGGTGGCCATTTCGAATAGAATATTTTTTTATTTCTTGCTGAGACTTTAATAAATATGTACGTATAAATTTTAATAATTTTACATTACTTTATTTAAAAAATGCATTTTCATTTGGAACAGAACTTATGGCTGGACTAGGTTTATAAGCAGAAAATATCTACATAGTTATATCACTTCTAATTAATAGCATTAAAATCTGTAGTTTAAAATATTAAAGCTAAGATTCCAAGTGAAGATTTAGCGCTAAATATGACTTCCAATGTCAAATCTGTCCCGTTTTTGAACATTGCCGAACAGAATGTAAAAATACAATCAATTAATATTAGTAAGTACGAGTATAAAACGCCTAATTTATTGCGGGGTTTTGGTATATTAGAAAAAACACTAAAGATCTTTTTTTTTATTTGTCTGCTTTGATGAAATGTTTTTGAAGTGAAACTTCTTTATCGAGGTTGGAAAAAAATTTAGTGTAACATTTTTTCGTTACGCGTCACATTTTTCGGTTACGCGCCATGTTGCTTTTTGAAGTCAAACTTCTTTAACGGCGTTGGAATGAAACTTCTTTATCGACGTATGAGAGAAATTTTGTAGCAAATCGTCACGTTTTTCAATGATAGTAATAATTCTATTACAATTAATGAAATTCTATAATAATCTTCGTAGTAATAAGGTAAAATGAAATATTTGTATTCATGTCTATGATAATAAAAGCCTTTTGTTAAACTTTATCTAATTTAACGAATTTCTGTAAAGTTCATATAGTAGATCATTTTACGAAAAATAAGATCATAAAGAAGTTTCACTTCTTACGTGAGTACACCTAGTACACGCACAATTTTTTTTTAATACGTGTCTACAATTAACGTCATTGGTATTAATTTAACAAACAACATATGAAAACCAAATAAGATTTATTACGAGAAATTAAGAAAAGAAAATTACGTTGTAGACAATTGACAAGTCTACTAGGTATTTTTAGTAGGTACAGGCTAAAAGACTATTTACCTAAATATAGCTCTGATAAAAATACACATTTCAAATCAATTAATTAACAAAACTTAAATCCAAAAACCAATTCCAACAACAACCAATAAAATGATACCCTACAAGGGTTGGATTAACATTTGATTAATCTTCATATTTCCCATGTTCTATCTCTGTCTAACAACGATAATTGAATGGGAGTGAAAGAGATGACTACCTGTGGGTGGCCCTCCGCGCAGTCGCTATGTACAACGGCATGCTTCAAAGAGAGGAGGACGTCTGCCGCCTCCCCCCCTGTTCTCTCCCGACACTCCCCTCCCGTGTTCCTGCTATGGGAAAATGGGGTTGAGAAATATTGAGATATAGGTATAAGTATAACAAATATGTTATTTTAGGAGAATATAAAAACGTTATTCCTATGGATTTGTAAGGTATTAAAATACATATTTGTATGATGATGATATCTGTAAACCTCTTAAAACTAGTTCAACAGTTTATTGATTCTTTAAAAGATAAAAATTTAATTGAGTATTTTTAGGTATTTAACGCTGAAGCTGTTGCAAAAATTGTAATACATATCTCCATTGTTAACAATCACAGGTATCTTGCGTATTAAGGTTTTTTCCTAGAGTAGGTATCTACAGATAAAACAATTATGTATATATCTAAAACCGAATTCATTAAAATTCATTCATCCAATATTCATTAATAATTGGTATGCAACTCAAGGTAAAATATATTTATTTATTTATCTATTAATTTATTATCTATTAATTTTAATATCTATTATATAATTAAATGATACGGATGCAACTGGGGCCTTATTGCTTTCGAGTAATATCTTCCAGCCAACCACTGTGAGTAAGAAAAAAAATTATAATTTTCTAATGTCATTTTTTTTTATTGCAAAAAGGCAAGAAGTGCGAATATATTCATATAGTTATTTAGACAAAACAGGAACAAAAAACTAAAATAAAAAAAAGACACACGATAAAGAATAAAATCACTAAATACACATCACGATTTCGTTATTAACTAAAGAAAGCTTTTCACAGTACCTAAGTATAAAAAGTTGTTATTTAGATAATTTCTTGGGTTTTTCAGATTGCGTAGTAACTAGACAAATTTTTACAATTTACAATAGCGCAATTTTTTATTGAATTGTTGGTTAAAAATGGACCTATCAAAACAATTCTTATCAATAAAACCTTTATTAATGGCCTTGGCCTTGTATCTTTTTACATAGTTACTAGCTGATCCGGCAAACGTCGTTTTGCCATGTATATAATTTATAATAAAAAATAGGGGTTGATCGTAGAGGGGTGAAAATTAGATGTTGTATGTATTTTTTAATGCTGTATCGTAAAAAAATAGAAATTAAAAATTTTGTCTAAAAAATAAAATAAAAAATTTAGGGGTGGACTACCCCTCACATTTAGGGGGATGAAAAATAGATGTTGGCCGATTCTCATAGATATCGGATAAGCACAAAAAATTTCATCAAAATCGGTCAAGCCGTTTCGGAGGAGTATGGCAACGATAACTGTGACACGAGAATTTTATATATTAGATAATTATTAGACCTATAGATACGTCTTCTTATGTGTTCCCTAATATAGTATTGTCTTCCGTTCCGACTTCCGTTATGTTTCTAAGTATATTTAAATATTATTTATCTGTGAAACTTAGACCAGTTTATTAAGGATACAACAAATACTCTATATTTATTACTTTTTGTTTCTATACAGTGAGGTTTCTATTGTTTTTTATTAAATAAGTAAATACAACTCATAAAGTAAGTTTCTAAAGCACAAACATCGCAGTCCTTTAGAAAAAAAAGAATCCTCTTTTACTTATTTATTTATTAATTAAGTAAGTATTTTATTCAGAAACAATAAAATTTTGTTTCGCTTTCTATTAACATATTAATTCCCCGACTATTATCGAGTCGGAGGTCTGGAGTATCGTATATTATGTATTTATTACTACCTATTAGCAAATATAAATTGTATTATTCATTTCCGCTAACAACTTTTTTTATTAATGTCTCTTAAATGTTTATATTATACACATTATTTTTATAATCCGTTCGATTTACTCAACATGTACCTATTCAAACCACTTACTTGTACCCAGAGCATGGTGAGAATGGGAACAGCGATGGTAGTGGGTCCAGCTCCAATGAAGGTAGGGAGAAGGATCCCATCTCCTCCCCTGTCCAGCTTTGCTCGTTCACATCACCAAGATTGACGTCGCACGGAGCGATCGATTCGCTCAGCGCATTCAACTCTTCACCATTTTCTGGACAACAATTCTCATTCTCCTGCTGAAAAACCGTGAGGTACAGGACAAACGGAATGCGAAATTGTGACTGTGAATGCTGACTCGCTCTCATTTCATCATTTTGAAATCTCACGCTCCAGGAAAAAAAAAAATACTTTTAACAGGAGTTTATAGCAATATTTAAAAACTTGACGTAGTGAGCACAGCATGTTTAACTTAACTTAAATTATTATACAAGTTATTTAAACGTTTAGTATTCGAAAAAAACAGAAAAAATTAAAAGTACTTATTTAAAAATCAAACAAACGGGAATAGTTGCCGAACAACATAAGTCTAGGCTTCTATATTTTATAAAGTTTAAGTATGAAGGCGGAATTAATTTCAGGGCCCATAATTTAAAAATAATTATTATTATTTCATATATTGATTGGACTCTAGAAGGACGGACTACAGACAAACACTTGGGTATGCACCTGGACAAACGCTTAACGTAAGACCATATAAAACCCAAGAAAGAGCATGCTAATAATAAGCTTCGTAAGTCGTAACATGAACAGGCTATTAGGTGGAAAAGCCGCACTGGAGAATAGACTTCTCATTTATAAAACTCTCATAAAACCAATATGGTCTAATCACTAATGGGATACAGCTCTGAGGGTTCTAGCCGCTCTAATATCGAAATCCTACAGCGGCTACAAAACAAAACACCGCGAAATATGAGCGGTGCGCTGTGGTTAACACGAAATGCTGAAGTCCATACATATTTGGAAATTACCACTGTCGAGTAAGACATTACAAGAACAACCGAACAATACAAAAGGAGACTTCAGCAACATGTTAGCTTTGGGCCTCTTGGCAACGGCGGAGAGCGTGTTGCGGCTGAGAACGGCGAGACTTGCCGCAGTTTGATAGTTTGCGAGTTACGGAGGGAAAATAAATGATTGTATTTGCATTTCATCAAAATCATATCTTAAAATATATACGTATATTAATATTGTATTTTGGTTTTGGTGAATACTGTTTTTGGTATTTTTTAACAAGTCTTGGGTTAGTAAACATCTTACGAATTAAGTTGTATATAATAAGATTGTACATCTCCTCAAATAATATTATTTTTGCATTGATTTCTATCAAATTGCACGCTATGCATTTTATATCAAAAATAATTTAGTACGCTTATTAATTAAATCGTTTATTTGCAAAAAAAGTGGTAGGTACATTCAGATTGATTAATTATATAAAAATAATAATTAAAATTGAAGAAGAAAGTATTAGAAACAAACTAATTCAACATACAATCTCATTTCGCAATTAGCTAAATTACAAAATGTTTTCAAAAATAACAGGAATTAGATTAAATGAAATAAAAGCCGCCGATCTTCAGTGCACCTTAATTTAGAATGGTTTGTGTACAAAAGTGTAAATTAAAATAATAATAATAAATGGGAGGAAGCTGATATAAATAATAAGCCAACAATATAATGTTCGGTATTCGTTCCTAAAACTGTTTTAATATTATATTTGTAATTTCAGAAGTATTACTAAATTGTCACCTTAATAAATAAACCATTGCGAAAAATTTGAACCTCGTTTCCGTGTCAATAATATGAAGCAGAATATTTTTATTTTAAATCGAAGCAATATTGTTTAATTTGTATATTCTTATTAAAATGTATTAACAAACCTGACAACACTGTTCCGAAAGCTCCCGGATCTGATCACAGGAGCAGGGCTGCAGCGGATCGCAACACAGCGAATGGCAGCACCCGCCGAACTGCGGGTTGTTCGGGACATAGCAGTCCATGGCCCCGCCTTTGGGCTGCGGGCTGTGGGCTGAGGGCGGGTCAGAGTTTCCGACGCTTGTAGTCACGCATGGCTGAGATGAAATCGATTGGGTGTTAAGAATAATAGATATTTTTGTACTGGCTTTAAATTATATTTTTGGTTTATGTAGACTTTTAATTGATGTAGTTTATCATAATACATATTGTACTGTTTTAAGAGCATTATTATTAACACTAGGTGCTAATAATTTAATCCAGTCTTAGGTTACACCAATTCTTTTTATCGACTATATGCTTAATTAATAGCTGTCTATATTTCTTAAATTCTAGTATCACATTTAAAAGCTCATATTATTAAAAAATATTTTTTTTTTCATTTACTTACTTTATTAAAAAATATGAAAAACAAAGGTGAAAAAAAAATATTCAACACCCGCATTATAAAATATAATATATATATATATACAGTGTAAACTCTTTATAACGAATTTCAAGGACCCGATAATTATCGTTCGTTATAGAGAGTGTGCGGTATAGGCAGAGACCAATTAGAATAATTTATATATATATAATAGATAGGTGACAATGGTGCGTTTAGTAACTGATACCAATTTTCAATAACAAAGGCGAGACGGCTGTTTATGACCTAAGGTGCCTTTTTAGAAATATCGTCACCTCAATAGGTTAGTTTTGTAATCTGATTATAAAAACAAATACACTTAAGTATGTTGTTTTTTTTTTTTTTATTTATTAGGCTTACGACATCACACACAATACTTAATCTACTAATATTTTACAAAAACTTACACTAAAATGTGTGACAATTAACGAAACACAAGTTTCACAAACAAAAAATAGAAATTTAAAATTTAAAAAATGAAAAAATACAATTAAAACATAATATACAAGGTGTAAGGATTTTGTAAAACTCAGATGCCATATCATTAACATTATTATAAGCGCGTAGGCTATCATTCCAATCAATGGTTTTCAGATCCCCTATAATAGACACATAGTCAGCTTTTAAAAACTTAGTTAAGTATTACCTCTCGTTCGCAAAAAAGATATTTTAGAATATTTAATACTTAACAATAAACTAGGATGACGCGTATATTTTACTTAACGAGTCGGAGGGGGCTGATACATTAATACTAGACATATTACTTAATACTAAATAAAGAAACGATCATCACATTACCTATACTATTACATTGATTTGGGCATTCATAGACATAAAATTAATAAAGGCAAAGCCAAGTGTATTGTTATAATTACAAGGTGTTATTAAAACTTCATTATTTAGCGATCTCCAATTAATGAACCCTAGATGACATCATCACTTAAGATTAAAGCTCTGTCGACGCTGCTAAAAAATGTGTCAAAGTCCCAATCTTAACAGGAGGAGGCAGGTATACTTCACATATCGAAAGTTTCTTTATTATTTTATTAATATTTATATGTAAGGTGACCCATAAGTCCTCCACATCCGATTCCCATGCCTCAACTCTGAAAAAGAAATTTCTTTGGAGACCCCAGTATGGCACCTCCACCATCCGATTTGGTATTGGTAGAACTTGAACGACTCTACGATAAACAGTGATCTATTGTCAAATAATTCCATGTTTGAAATACCAGATTTCAGCCAAGTTTCAGAGAGCGATGATCTTGTAATTAGAAGTTGACGAATATTTGAGAAAGCTTGCCGTTTTAGTTCTCAACCCCTGTACGTTTTGATAATAAATTTCAAGATCGTAAAAAAAAATCTGTGTGTTACTAGACTAAAGAACAACAAAAAGCTTACAATCTAATATACTATACTATGTTAAAAGATTTAAGGTTTCGTTATTCTTAATAAGCAAGGCTTGGCAGTTTTCGTTCTTTCTTGTAAAAACGCGTCCGTTGCGAACCCATACAAATTTATACTGCTTCTCTTTTGCTTTCAAGGTGTGGCCGCGAAAGAGCATTGTTAACTGATGTAAGATGTTCAGATACATAAATAGGTTCTTAGTTCCTTCGATACCAAGATGATGAGAGTTTAATTTCTCTTGTGGATTCTTCCTATTAAATTTGCCACAGAGCCAGAACAAAGTCACGTGTACGCGGGCTACATAACTTGGCTACCAGGACCGAGGCCATCACGCTATTAGTTATTTTAGCAACCCTTGTTACGTGCTGAATATCAACTTGAGTGAGGGGACAGTCCACAGTCTTGGCTATACGAAGGACAGTTTCAAATAAATTTTCTGACCTATTCTCAGGGACCCATTAATCAATATATTATTCTCCCGGGCATGTAGTTCAACAGAAGTTAGCCGGTTTGTTAGGTCAGCCACATTAGACTTTAACCTCTCATTATCTTTTTTTAGATTCACTATTGCGATGTCCTTCTCCTCAAGAGAAGACTTTATATCCTCAAATTGTCGACTCAGGAAGCAGATTGTGTCCTGGAACCCAACAACCCTTTCAGTGAGATTATTAAGTTCCGATGTCACCAACGCTTTATTGTCACAGTGAGGACTGAAGATAACTCCTGTTGTAAGATATCTCGCAATTTATCTTCAGTGACATATGGTTCTAGTTCTGGTATGTTGTTGATGTCTAAATATTGAAATAATTCTTCGTAATAGAGAGTGGCTGTTGCGTTATAAAGAACGAATTAATGTATGGATTTTGTGTTAAACCAACCAAAAATTACCTTTTTTACATTATAGAGACTTCGTTAGAACGAATCACGTTATGAAGAGTTTATACTGTATATATATAAAATTGAGGTGTTCAAAACAACCAATGGGGTATAAATAATAAATCATTATAGGTACTTGACATACCAAAAAAAGCTATAATTGGGTAAAGATTTCTTGTTTGTGTATATATTTGGGCAATAATATATTAATAAAATATCGCTTTTCTGTGTCTTCATAGGTAATTTTCTTATTGAAACCAAAACGTATGGCATTTAAAACATCCGTAATGGAAATCAGAATCAGTTTTTTGCAAAATAAATACTATCTATGTTGAATAATGAACATTTAATTATTATACCTAATGGGGTAATTATTAGTGTTAAGAATAATACCTGTTGATTATGTACGTAGTAATGAAGCCGTTGAGTGCTAAACGTGACAACAAAGGAATGTCAAAAATGAAAAACTTTTGAATATAATTGTTATGAACTTACGGAACACAAGGTCTTCATAATTCTTCTTATATAAACGTGAAAATGTTGTTTTTACATAGAAACATTTCGTGTGTTTTTTGCAATAAAGTCGAAATCACTTAATAATGATAAAAATTCACGTACATGTCAGTTAAAGATGTTTTGTTTTGTATTACTTACGTAATAGAAAAATAAGAGAAAAAAAATCAGTGGCACTACAACCTCTTTAGGTCTTGGCCCCAGATTTTTGAATCTGTTTCATGATCATTTTTAAATCTAATAGGCAAGTAGGTGATCAGTCTCCAGTGCCTGACACACGTCGGCGAGTTTTGGGGTCTAACAGAAAAATAAGATTGTTTATTAAATTGTAGGTATTTAACCTTCAATTACGTTATATACTGAAAGCTTTTAGCTTTAATTTCTATTATAAATAAAACTGTTATATGCATATCATTGTTACTTTGACAAACAAAATATACGTATTTAGTCAATTAAAGAATTTGTTTATCTTTCTTAAAATTATCCAAAAAATGTTTTTTAACTACGTTATCAAAAACACTTGTTCTTGGCCTCAGATGTCTGTATGTGTTTCGTGTTTTTTTTTCTTATAGGCAAGTAGGTGATCATCCTTTTGTGCTGACACATTCCTTAAACCTTTTGGGTGGATTTCCTCACGATGTTTTTCTTCACCGAGCGAGTCTTAACTGCGCACATAGATTCAAAGGAAACTCGTTTTACTGAACTGGCTGATTTTTAAATTTCCTTTTGTTGCCTACTTAAAAGATTGTTATATCTGTCATTAGATTTAGTAAATAATATAAACATAACTCATGTAATTTAATAATTCAATTCGGTACGATGAAGAAAAAATATACCGTTGCATTGTTAAAGGGATTAATAATTAATTAGTCATATTGTAATCTACTTTTGAGATGATAGAAATAAAATAAAAATGCCACCTGTATTACACATAATTTACCATCCTACAATATATTTGGTATAATCTATTTTCACCTACTATCGCTTTTCTTTTATTTATATCGTCATGATCGTAGAACACAGTCGGATTTGAAAAAAATCCAAAATCCACTTTTTATCATAGGTATTTGGATACTACATTGACTAAATATTACGGCTACATTAAAAAAATCCATGTGTTTTAAATTTCAAATTAATCAGTCGGTAAATTGACGGATTTTATAGAAGCTTGTAATTTTTCTAGAAAACTGTGTAATTTAATGTTATAATTTTTATTTTGTTTCAAAACAAACCCTTTTGTTTGCTTGTATGCCAATTTTCATATTAACAGAATATGAATTAAAATAGTTATCACAAAAACTAACATGAATATATTATTTTGAAATGGCTGCCCTGTAAAGTTTACTATTTGTCAGATCCGTCACTATTCTACGTCTATGACGATATAAGAGTATGAGTAACACAACTAAATATAAAAATAGGTAACTAAAATGTAAACACAGCAATTTGCATACACAAAAGAAAATCTGTCGAAGAAGCCGCGTAGCATGAGCAGCCTTCAGTTAATTGAAAAGTGTATTTTCTGCGAATTCGCTCCCTCTGTTCTTAAAGTCAAAAGTCTTCGAACAGGGCGTCTTACCTGGTGACTTACGGCCCTGAGAGGTCACTTACTTCAAGCCTCGTACACAAACCCCTCGTCGCTCAACGAGTTATTTCTCTACTTAATCAAATTAGAAATGAAGAGATCCGAAGAAGAACTAAAGTCACGGAAGTATAAGCTTAAATCGCGGGGAACATAGGTACCCGAGAACGGATTGCCAGTCGGCGAAACGTTGGTTGGGGCATAAGGCTCGATGCCAGTACGCGTAATAAGTAAATTAAATG